AAACATCATCTAATAAATCTTTTTTATAATAACCAGGGAGTAAGTATCATATTATAAAATTAACTTTTACAACACAATAATTATTATTAAAATATCAATTAATAAATTTATTTTTCTTTATAATTTCAAATTTCCACTATGCTATGGACCACCAATAGACCATCAATGGACTGCACATTTGCCAACCTGGTACATGATATCATGTATGATCTCATGGATATGTGTATCTTCTAGAATAGATGAATCTCTTTTAGCTTGTTATCATATTGACCATGATCCCACATCTCTTTTCTGCAAATCAAATTCATAATAGTAATAGTAGTAGTATAATTAATAAATTAAATGATTTTGAGCATCAGAAACAATATCATTTACATCAACATGTACAAAGATCTATACACCATCTTGACATATTCGCATTCATCTTTATGTGTACTTGTGAATTTTCAACTTCTGGTTTCTGGCCATTCAATAATAACACATTGATCCATTCAATGAATTCACTTCTAGCAATCTTCTATTCTTGAATATTGTCATATTGCATCAGGAAAACTATGATTGGAATTATACGTATATGATTTACAAATGTGTGGGGTTCTCATATAATTCTCATATAACATGCATATAGATGACTTACATGTGAATTATATGTGAATTATATGAGAATGCCACACATTTGTAAATCATATACGTATAATTATACGTATAACCCCAATCATGTTTTCCTGATGTGATATGCTTCTTCTAATTCAGAATTTGAAAGTAGACCACTAATTTAGGATTAATTTGATCCATATCCAATATAAATGAGAGTAAAGGATCAGTGAATGAGAATGTGGAAAGGTCCAAAGATTTCATTTTTTCCAATATTTTACATACAATTTTGTGAGAGGACTTACTCTAAAGATGAAAAAGAAACAATTACAATCAATAATAACAGGTTAGTGATGTTGTATTTATGTATATAAATTCTTTAAACTTACAGCTAAGAACTCATATCTGTATTTTACTTCCTGGAGCAGAGCCTGATTGTCGAGCATCTCCTTTTCTTTTTGTTTAATCTGTGAAATGCTAGAAGGTGACATGGTAGATTTTGAGGATCTTGAGGACCTTGGGGATCCAAAGTACTTGCCAACTCTGCGGCAAAATCTAGTATCATGGAGTGAATAAAGTTGGTATATGATATTTCCCTTGTAATAAATAATAGCTGTTTAAAATGTCATATAACTTACTTGAAGCAGTTTCCACTGAAATTTCATCAATAGTAACTATAGCATTATGTTTTAATTCATTTTTGAGATATTCCATTAGATGGTAAAAATTCATCCCACCAGCATTAATATTAATTATTAATTTATTAGACAATATAGATATCAATAGTAGTACCTGGATTAGATCAGATATTATTATTCTGAATTTTTCTACAACTTCTGTTAAAGAAGTTAATGTGATGACTTTAGGTGATGACAATGATGATAAACCAATATCCAATTTGGATTTATTGAATACTGAATAAATGGGCTGATATCTTTATTAATTAAATCAATTTATAAAGAAAAAAATAAAAATAAACATTTACATTGAACTCATGTCTTTTGAACCTATAATTATATTAATGTATGTTTTATTAATTTTATAAATCTGAAAATTAAACAAAAGAAATTGTTCCATTGCAGAATTTACCATCTCAAAAGATTAACTCAATGCTCCTCACCCTAACTCAAAAACATATCTCCTTAATAATAATGACAATAATAGAAATAATAATCACCACAGAGCAACTTGGTATTATAAAATGTATATTTGTCACCTACCAAATAAACTGCACCAAAAGTATTTTGTAAATTTTCGATATTATTTTCTAATCCTTCACATTTTTTTTAATCTGAGAAAAAATAAATCTATATTGTGATGTGATGCGTTATTATTATCTATCAATTTATATAATTTATTTCCATCAAAAATTATTCTCAATACAAATCAATGTTGTTTGTCCATGATTTATCATACTAACCTCTGTAGTAGTAATTGTGTTTGTTGTTGCAGAAGAGATATTTGAAAGTGAAGAAAGCTCAAAAGTCTTTATTGTTATTATTATCAAGCTATCCAACATAATTCAATATTAATATTGCCAAGCTTTTCTGAATCAAAATTAAAATTGATCTTGTGTAGCTTTGACCAAGAAACCATTTTAAAATGTTTTGTTAAAAAATACTTTAGTATGATTATGAAAATTGTTTTATTAATTCATTAACTATATTATTATATTGATATTTATAAATAACGTTTTATTATTATATTATATTGAACTATACTATTAGTTTACTATTAATATTCTATATTATGAATTGTTAATAATCAGTTAGTTAATTATTACCCAAGTCAATTAACCAATAAAATTAATCAATAATTGCACTACCTTCATTTGAATATTGTGAATAAAAAAGTAGTCAAAGCTATTGATGGACCAAGCCATGTAACTAACCAATTTAATAGACTAGGTTTGATTTTATTGACCACATTTTCGATTTGTTTTTCTGTTTCTGATATATTACCAGAATTATCAATGACAAAATCAGCATATTTTATTTTTTCTTTCAATGGAAGTTGTGCTGAAATACGTTGTCTAGCTGCTGACTCTGTTATTGTTTTTTCACGTGAAAGTAACCTGCTTAATTGAAGTTGCTCTGAACTATAAAATTTCATTTATTAGAAATATTCTTTCTTATTTATTTTAGTCCATCAAGCATATATTATATAAATAAATAGATTATTATACAAACCAATAAACAACAATAACTACGCTCATATATTTGTGAAGTCTACTCTCAATTAATAAAGGCGCGTCCAGCAACACCATTTTCTCACCTATCAGCCAGTACCACGCCATCAACTTTAATATCTCACGTCGAATGAATGGATGTGTACACTGATTCAATATTTTACGCTTTGTCTCATCTGCAAATATAATATCACCTAACTTGGCACGATTCAATGTTCCATTCTCATTCAATATATCTTTAGAAAATTTCTTTACTACAAGTTTATAGGCAGGTCTTCCAGGTTCTACCACTTTTCTTGCTAATAGATCTCCATCAATCACTGGAATTTTTTTATTCAGGAACATCCTAGAAGCTGTACTCTTGCCTGTGATATGCGAGTGAGTGAGTGAGTGAAAAGAGTATATTTATTGGTGGTAATTATTTATAAAAAAAATATTAGCATACCAGAGGCTATTCCTCCTGTAAGTCCAATAATTTTCATATTTTTTATTTTTTTTGCAGTAAAAAAAAAAGTTTAATTAAATGGGGGGTATGGACAATAGAAACACACCAACTTCAAAAAAGGGGGTTTGAGAAAATTAAAAAAAAAGATCTAGTAATTTACTATAATGGGAATATCTAAAAATTTTATTAAGCAAAGTTGGTATGGCTTCTAAGCTAAATTAATCTCCGTGGTGAAATGCATATAGTAGCGCGATGTTAAATTAAAATCGACTCCTGAGTGAGTTTGGCGTGTTTCTATTTGTCTATGCCCCAAATATGGGGGACCAATCTGAAGAGTTCGTATAAGTCAAAATACAGATTTGGAGCGGTCACCACATTGCTGAACATTTCATTGCGGCTCGATTTATCACAAATAAATAATGGTAATAATAATATTCTAAATACTCATTTGATTGGGTTGGTTATTTTCTGTCCAACATGGAATTCTAGAAGCAATAAGCAGTATGAAAAGATGATTAGAGAAATGTTGTTCATTCTGACGAGGAGGAAAAGGAGGATGTTTTTCCATTGGTACCAACAAAGAAAATGCTCGGTGAATCTCTTAAAAATTCATGCCAATCAATGTTCAAAAAAATTACTTGTATGTTATTAATTTTATAATTATAAAATGTGAAATAAAAAAAAATAATTTTTTTTAAATAATCTTTAATCTCCAATCTATTTTTTCAAGTTTCGGTTTTTCAATATTGACCTTTGGTTCAATTGGATTTTTTTCTAAATTAGTCTATAATAATAGGAGAAAGAAGGTGATTTTAGTTTTAAAAAATATATATATTTGAAAAATAATTATATCAAATTGAATACCTCTAAATTATTTGATGAATTAATATTATTATTAATATTAATATTATTAGTAGGATTAGGATGATGAACAAATATTTCATTTATATTATTTTGAATTTTTTCTTCTAGATCGCCAAATAAATTTTGAATTTGTTGTAGATGTTTAATATATCCAAACGTTAAAAGACAATTTGATAAGTTTGATATTTCAACTATAAATAATATGCGATTTGAATAATTAAAGGTTAATACGATGATGATGATAATATTATCATGCACTATATTATATTACCTTGGGTATTGTTAAACCTTTCAATTAATCTTTTCAAAGAATCAATAAGATATTCTTCTTCATATATACTTCCTTTTTTACCTCTAGCACGTTTTCTTTCAGCTCTACGTCTACTTTTTGCGCTTTTTCTACATACAAATGATTATTTTTTTTTTTGATAAAAAAAGCAAGTTATTGAATAATAAAATTTTCACATGTATGAATTTTCCATCTATCCAATCCGAATCAAATAATAATAATAATAATAATTCCTTACCCGCTTTTATTAGTATTAACGCTTAATTGTGTTATTGATTGTGTATATCGAGAAAATCCACTCACCATTGAACTTGTATCAGATAACACATCAACATTATCTGAAACTTCTAAAACTTCTTCACCGTAGAATTGATCCACTAATTGTCGATGATTATGATCAATTACAATTGAACTTTTATCATTATAAAAAAAATATTTCTTCTGAGGGAAACAATTACCTGATTGATTAAGTTTGGTTATTCTTATTTCTTTTAATCGAGCAGTCTGATGATTCAATTGATCTAGCATAGAATTAACATCTTGTAATAAATTATTAAACCCTAAATTTCACATAATAATAATAAAAATAATAATATAATTAATTAAAAAAAAAAGATCATCCAAATATTATTTTTAAAATATAATATCTAAACCTTCGATCACACTTGGTTTTATATCAGTTTCAATAAGATCTATACGATTATACATATGTGACTTTTTTATTAAACATATACATATTGGATTAGATTATATTATTAGTAAATTTAATAATTCTCATTGTATATATATATATGTATATTTACGATACGCATAGCCTCCGACCAATGATGACCTTTATTAAATAATAATATTGCTTCTTCAGTTTGCTATTTCAGAATAATAATAAAATTAATAAATATTTAGAAAATCAATTATCAGAGAGAAAGACAAAAACCTTTGCATAATCTAATAAAATCTGTGCTGCTTCTTGATATCTTCTTTTTTCCGATAAAATTTCTATAACCAAAAAAGTTATTGAACTTAATAATTTTAATTACTCCCTACTCCCTCTCCGTCTCTTCCCATACACGCACGCACCTGAAAATTCTTTGGCCAATGAAAATAATTCATTCTCTGAATATTTTAACTCGTATGCAATAGAAAATGATTCACGCCAAAATCCACATTTTTTATATGCTTCAAGCGCATTAACTTTGTCATCAGATAATAAATAGGCTATAACAATAAAAATTATTTTAATAATGATGATGATGATTTTAATATATTATATAATATGTGTGATTTAAAGAATTACTTACCTAAACCTGCTTCTTTAAAATCTGATTCATTAAATAAATATTCTCCGTAAATCCTCATAACTCTCTAAAATAATTTATTATTACAAATAGCAAATATTATATTTCCTGTAAAGATACAATAACCAACTAAAGAATTACATTTAAACCAAACCTTGTATTTTTCCTTATTATCATTATTATTTGAAAATAATTTAACGGCAAAATTATAAAGATTGTATTGTTGAGTATACTTTAAAAGTTCATCAAAATATTCATCTCCTATAATTTTTTAATAAAATCTTAATGTACTAAGTTATATAAACGCCAAATATATACATATACACACACACACACACATATATATACCAGCTAAACTTAAATTATCCAAAGCCTTTTCGTATCTTTTTAAATGATGATCAATTTTAAATCTTTGATAATATTTTGGGTACTTTTCCAATTCTGCTAAAAAAGTTAAATATTCCCTTGGATCCTATAAACAAAAAATCACAATTTACAATTTGCAGTAAATAAAAGAACCAAAGCAAAAAGAAATTAATTGTAATAAATGAATTTATTATTATTAAAATCACCCTTTGAGAATGTTGAGCAACCATGATAACGAGATTAAAATCATACATCCCCAATGCAACATCAAATAAACGATCCGCATCAATCAAAAATATTGTAAATTTAATTGCCTCCTCAGAAAGATTCATATCTTGATCTTAAAATACATTTAAAATTTATATACTTATTTATATCAACAAGCATCAAGCTCATTCAAAATAAATTATTTTTCTAACCTTTTATTTTTGCAATTAAATTTAATGCAGGTTCCAAATCAGGTGGTGTATGACGTACATATGTTGTTATGATTGATTGAAGATATTTCTTTGAATCTAAAGTTTCCAATACTGCTCTCACAGCATCACATATATTATTAACTTTTGATGTCATGTTTTGTTGAGCACTGACAAGAATAATAAGATTTAATCTTATTTAGTGTAGATCTTTAATAAAAGTAATTTATTTAAAAATAATTACTACCTGTTGGATTCTAATTCATCATTTATATTTGAGTTATTTGTTATTGTTCTGTACATAGTTTGAATTACATCTTCATTTCTACATAATGAAAAGAAAATTCAATATTCATAATCTTTAACAATAAACTGAAATAATAAAAAAATCCAAATAATACCTTAAATTTGACAAAAATAAATTTAAAAAATCAACATTTGCTATCTGTGTAACAAAAGACTGGACATTTTTCAAGAATAAATTGGGTGCATGATCATACAAAATATTCAAATCTATTCGATGCTTTCTACAGGCTATAAAAGCTGACAGATAATCGAATCTACATTTATGTGGTTAAATTAATTTTGTTAGAAATTCACATATATAATTCAAATAATATCATATTATCTATACCGATTTAAAAATTCTTTTACAGATGACAAAACAAGAGCTCGTGGATGAATTGTTTCAAGATTTCCTCTAGGCATCTAAAAAAATAATAAATAAACATCTATTTTAAAAAATTCATATCTTTAAATATAATATGCGCGAATAGATTGAATACCTGTAAAATTAAATTCACGTCGAAATAAACTGCACATATAATCTTGGATCCTCTTTCTATTCTTCTCATATCATGATTATATTCATGAAATTCTTTAGCAGAATTTTTAAAATCTATCATTACAATAATCAAGAAGCATTATTTAAGAATTGCGCATATAACTAATTAGATTGTTTAGAATATAAAGTCAATGCTCATACCAGATAGATTCATTTGAAGAGGCAAAAATCGAACAATATGATTTGAATTTGTAAATATTAGGAAATCATTATGTATAAAAAATGAAGTGCAATATGCTTCAATTATTTCGTTATTTACGCATAATTTATTACTTCCACTCAATCCTATCAATACTACCTTTTAAAAAGAATCATGAAAAAGAAATTTTTAGAAAATTAAATATTAATTAATATTGATATTAAAAGTTTGAAAAATTTACCTCGTCTCTTTTTTCAGCCCCAATCTTGGTTGAACATATCCAATTGCAAACCACTGGCAAATGAACAAATGGATTACTATCAACTTTGATATCAATATTCAAATCACTATCACTGTTTCCAATTAATTTTACTAAAAATTAATTAATTATTATTTTTAGGTTTGTTAAAAAAAAAACATAATAAATATTATTAATTAAAAAAACTACCTTGATAAACCGAGGCATCGCAAGATTCTATGAAAATATTTTCATAGTTGCTATTTGAATATAAACGAATAACACGATATGAAAGTGAATAAGATTTGTATGATGAAACAATAAATTGTTTATTCTCTTCTTCTTCATTATCAAATTTCACAATGATTTTTATTAAATCATCATTCCCAGTCTCTTGATTGTATCGTAAACATAATAAAACATTTTTATTGACCCAAGTAACTTGTCTTAGCAATGCTCCATTATTTATATCTGGAATACTATTTAAATAAATCAATAATATAATATATATAAATATTTTATATTTTGCTAAAATCAAACACAGCAGAATTAATTAATTATAATTTTACTTTAATGTACCTTATTGTACCCAATAAAGTTGGCGGTTTTAAGGGGGTTTCTAAAGCTCCAGACCATTCATAAAAATTAATACTAATGTTTTGATCGGCTTGAAGTACTAGAAAATCATTGCTGCCATCATTACTTGATAAAAATGAAATAAATGTTGCATTATTAGTAAGTTCAACTGAGAATGCAGACATTGGAGGTGGTACATTCATTATCTTAAAAGGTGTAAGCTTAATGGTCGCTATAAATAAAAAGAAGAAAAATATTATTTTTTGTTTTACTAAATAACTAAATAATTCTAATGCTAAATTTTTTTTTTTAAAAAAAAAAAAATAATACTAAGTTACCTCCATCAATAACTGCAATTGGCGACATATTTTTTTCAGATATAAAGTTAGAATAGAAAATGTCCCAAACAAAATCAATTCTATGGTAATTTTCTATAAAATATAATAGATATTTATATTTATATAAATAATTTTATATATTACAGATCTTTTTAAAAATAATAATAATATAAATATAAATACATACTTTGAGTTGCAAAATGAAATCTTAATGCAATCTCTGGATCCCAGAAAAAACCAGTTATATGCTCTTCTGGTGAACATAATATTTCTTGCTTCAAATACCAATGAAAATTATTCATATTCCATAATTGAACTTTTTTTAAAAAATTATAAAATAAATTAAAAATAAATTTAAAATAAATTCAAAGACTTATATATAAATATATATACCACAAGATAAATGTTCTGTTTGTGAGATTTCTCTTTCAACCCAAATAGCCAAAATACTTGAATCGCAATTCCAAGATATTTCAATAATCTTAACAAAAGGGAGTTTTTTTAAAAAAAATATATTCATAATTAATAATAATCATATTAAAAAATTTGTTTACCTTATGATTAGATTTCTCACGTAATGAAAATTCTCCATGTCTTAAACCATTTTTTTCAAAAAATATTATATTATGTTTATTTGAGAATCTTTGACTTGAAGCAATCAAATTGCCTATTGGCCTAAAAAAAAAACATGAAAAAAATTTATAAAAAAGGAAGCTTTATATAATTATTATTGTTGTATAAATTTTTATGCACCTCCATGCTAAAGTATGTTCTAATTTATCAACAGGCTCGCTTGTATTTTGTAAGATTCCTTCTCTATTATAAACTCGTATAATACGAAGTCCTTTTTTGTTTATATTTATAACATATATATTAATTGATATTTTACAAAAAATTTTTTTACACAAACAAACAATCAATCACCTTTATTTTGATCAATTATTGAACAACAAAACATGTTTCCATCACCACACCATGATACTCTTGGTTTCAGATCGTCATCATAATCTGATAGTGTAAACCCAGACGTATCTACTTTTTTCTGAGCACTGGATTTCCCTTCAGACCCATGAAATTGCGTCTCCTTTCTTCCCCAACCAAGACTAATCCCTGCAGCTAAATAGGAAAAAATAAATGTCAATAAGATTCTTCCTTTTTGCACAATTTTGTAATAAAATTTTTTATTAACCTTCTCCAGCTTCATCCACATTAATTGGATACTCAGTAATAACGTCGAAATCTTTGGTCATTTCCAGAATTGTATTCATTCCTACAAAGTTGGAATGAAATCCATTATTATTATCATCATTATAAAATATATAGGTTTTTTCTTTTTTAAAAAACTTACCAGTAACTAGAATAATTATTTCTTCATCAGGACTCCATTCCATACATTTGATATTAGATTCTACTGATCCAACAACTTCAATCTAATTTATTGTCCCAAAAAATAATTATTTAATAATTAATGTATATCTTTAAGAAATCAAAAAATAAAATAAGTCAATTGATCCAGCAATATTTCTTTTTACCAGATCACCAGATCTAAGAGAATTATCAAGATGCACAAGAATTATATCCCCGTTACTGAATGCTATACATATTGCTTGAATATCCATCAAATATTTTATTCCACAAATAATATCATTCAAACCAAGAATACTAATGTCATGTTCATTGGTAATAGATGCTATAACTTCAACTTCAGGAAAAGATGTCTACCTTTCAATTAACACCAAAATTTATTAATATTAATAATTTTAATCAAAATATGTTAATCAGTTTTAAATACCTCTATTGAATGACATTTAACAACTTCAATTTGTTCCGACAATTCAGAATATCGTAAAAAGTAAAGGTCACCTGTCTCGGGATCTAATGTTTGCCAAATTTTTCTTGCTTGAACCTTTGAAGATTCTATTGTTTCTATTGTTGTAATTTTTTGAGATAATATAGTCAAATTTTTCATTTTTTTATAACATTTAGTTGATGAATTTAAAATCAGTAAATGTCGATCCTTTTTTAACGTATATATATATCAAGATTAAACCGGTACAACGTCAATTGATATTTTTGGTCGAATTACTCATCTAAAGATATCAAATGCTGCGTCGAGTGCTAATTTTCGAATCTAAAATAACGATGAATACTCGAAAACAAATAAACGAATAATTCGAATCGAATAAACGAATAGACGAACAATACAAATAATACTAATACCTGATACGAATAAAAAGAATAAAACGAATAATGCGAATTTGAATAGCAAATAAAACGAATAAAATAAAAAATTCAAAGAATCGAATAATTCGAATAAGAATTTGTATTACGAATAGAAACTCTAATATTTGTTCGGATGAAAAATTTATGATTAGAGTTGTTACAAAAAAGAATTCCATCATTTATTTAATCTGTCAATTATCACGATCTGGTCCGATTCATAGGATATAATCATGAATATTCGAATATTATTTATGGTCGATCTTGAATATTCGGTGACTACATCACCATATCAATATCAAATTAGGAATGCTAAAAATTTCAAATTATGGCTGCCCAATAGTGTTTTGGTCATGTGACCTGGCCGTCTTTTCGTTTTTTATATTCGAATTTTTATTTATATTATTTATTTCATATTAATTTTAAAAGAAAAGATTGGCGTCATATTTTGACCAAGTGAAAGAACAATCAATCACCGTTTAATTAGAATTTATATTAATATTTTGGGTCTTGTTTATAAGAGTAGAGTTCTATTCATAATACAAATTATTATTCAAATTATTCGTTTTTTTCGTTTTATTCGAATTATTCGTTTTATTCAAATTATTTGCTGTTTTATTCGTCTTATTCGTTTATCAAATCATTCGTTTCATCAATTATTCGTTTTATACAAATAAAAATTATTATTGTTTAAACATTAGGACATCGTTCAGGACATGTTCGTGTCCTCAATATTAAGCGGACGTGTCCTGCATAGAACATGTTATTAATATACGCTAATAATAATACAATAAAACCTCATTTCAACAATCAATGCTACTAATCATCAAAATTCGTTGTTGTTGAGACATTTTCAAAGGTTTTAATCATGAAAATTTTTAATTGTTTGTAGGGAATTTGATAAAAGAAAATACCATCTTTGTTTATACAGATTCCTTGGAAACTGATCTTTTTATTTTAATTAAACAATTTTATTATTGTTGTTCACATTCATCTTTTTTTTTTATTGTTACTTTTTAAATTCGTTGTAACGCGATTAATACTTACTATTGCTATTTGAACGTATGGTAATTTGAATAATATTTGGCCTGGTAAATAAAAATTCATCAATACTAAAAAAGATCCATCATGAAACGTATTATTATTATTGGTTAACAAAATGATTGATGAAATAATATTTTTATTTCATCTGAATCACTATAATTTAAACAGATAGGATATCCAGATTTCTATAATTTAAACAGATAGGGGTATCTAGATTTCTATAATTTAAAACGGATAGGATATCTGGATTGATATAACAATAATAATATTCATAAGCTCTACCCTGTACTTTTCAAGGTCTAATCTCAAAAGTTACAGGGTACAGGTCACCTGTTCCAAAAATTTCCTAGATTTAGTGGGTAAATCTTGGGTAAGTACAGGGTGACAGGGGATCAACAAAATTTCCTGTACCCTGTACTTTTCTGGTGCCCAAATCATCTTTCTAGGTTCTTTATGGTCCTGTGTTAATTTTCTTCCTTAAAGTGTCTGAATATCATTTATTTGAACACATAAGGAGCAATCTTTTCCCTTTGTTCTTTCTTTAAAAATACTTCTAATAATGTGTAATTATTGGGTTCCGTAGTGGATTTGACGTAAATTAGTTTTATGTTAATTATTTTATATAGGAGTAGTTCTACTACTTAAAGAAATAAAGACAACAGATGGGCCATTAAAATAATAGTCATGTTATCATTATGTTGGCGATTATTAAATCTTGAGCCCTGGAATTTTTGGTAATACAAAATGTTCACTTTGTCTGGTCTTGTTGCAAGCACGCCCCATATTATAGAAAAAATTTTCGCATTTATTATTTAAAAAAAATGTCAAATTAAAAATTAATTTTTTTGTTACCAAAAAAAAAATTATAAAATTACTTAAGGTTTATAAAAATATCTACATTTAAAATAAAAAAATAATATTATTATTATTATTATTACTATTATTATTATTATTATTATTATTATTATTATTAAATGAAATTTTCTTCTAATAATACACAAATAATTAAATTATATAAATAAATAGACAATATTATAATGATAATGATTGTACTAGAACTACTGACTATTATTACTATTATTGAAATATAAAAATTATATTATAAAACAGTTCCAGCCTGAGTAGCATATAATATAAAAATAACAAAATAATAAAATAAAGATTAAAATATTATCAAGAAAATAAAAAGAAAATAAAAAATAATTTATTTTTTAGGAAGGAGTAAATTAATTAATGTGTTGGTATGTGAACAAGCAAATGAATGAGTGAGTGAATGAGCGAATGATGTAATAGTGAATGGATAAAGGAATAAAAATGTGAATCGGGGAATGAAGACATGGAATTAAAGAATGTAATTGTTAATTATAAAGTAAAAAAGGTCAATTGATTAATCAATGACTACTCAAAAGTTGTTTGATATTTTTTGGTGTAGAATCATCATTTAAATGTTTGGTATTGAATCGTAAAGCTGACATCAAATTAGAGCTTTCACTTGTACCATGAGTTTGAATCGCTTTTACTGATGATTTTATCTATTCATTATATTTAAAATTAAAATCACAATTGTAATATTAACATTTTTAATTAAAAAAATAATAATTACTTACATTTATTGGTGATTGTTTATTAAAAGCTCCCTGTGGATCAATATGATCATATAAAATAATACACACAACCATTACTCTCAAACAAAATGATGTGGTTTCTGGATTTTGATATCTAATGCATTAATGATATTAGTATTGATTATTAAGTATATTGTAAATATTAACGAATATTTTATTTTATTTTTATTTTCAAAAAACTATTTTTTTCACCTTTTTCTTGTGACGGTCTGATAACAAGCAGCAGCTAATCCTGATAAACATTCTAATATACCTTTGCCAAGATTATCCTATATATAAATAATGAAGACGATGAGGATGATGATAAAAAATAATATAAATATATATTTAATGAATTTACCTTTGTCATTAAATGTGCAGTCACATCAGTAACCATTTTCAACATTGGCGTTGGATATGCATAAAATAATGAAATTTTATTTGCCAATTCATCTTCAATCATGTCAGTCTTTAAATCTGTCTAAGAAGAATAAAATAAAATTTATTTATTTATTTTCCCAAAAAAAAAAAATTTAAATAAATAAAAGAAAAACTAACTTCAATTGCAAGTTTTCCTCTACTAAGTGTTCTTCTATAGTATGAAAAATCATTTTGAATCGATGGTGTTCTCATCTATAAATATATTGAATTAAAATTTTAATAATTTATTATCTTTGCTTATTATCATCTTCAATGTATCGGCAATATATTATAAATTCAAAATTTAAACAAACCTTTAAAATATCAAATTCAAAAGCAAAATCTAGTATGTCAGCTAATGATTTTGAGAGTGATTGATATTCTTCAATATTTTTTTTAACATTGCCTTCACAAAGAACTGTAAATAGTTCAGGAAATGCATTCTCTAAATAAATAATCAATTAATTAACCGTCAAACAAATAGAAAGCATTAACAAAACAAATAATTAGGAAAAATTTTACCAAGCAAAGCAGAAAATTCAAAATATCTTTTTAATTTAGCTACAGCAGGTTTAACGGCCTGCCAAGCTTCTTCTTCATTATCAGGCGTCGGGTTTGATATAGCTTTTTTTATTAATTCTCCACAACCTTGATATTGCCGTATAGAATCTAATAATGTATCAGTGGGTTGAAGAAGTCGAGAAATTTTTATGTGTAAATTTCTTTCTTCTTCTTTTGCTATGGGATCTATAGATAGAAAGATTTACATAAATAATGTGGTGATGACGAAGATGGTAATGTATCAATTGCTTTGCAATTTTAGGTTATAATTGTTAATAAACTTACTTTCAAAGTCAATATTCAAATCTGGTATTGTTACATCACTACTTCCCCTAAGCAAATTTGAAAGTAACGCTCCCATATTGAGTATATGTTGCTTTTATGTGTAAATATAAAAAAAAAATTAGAAATGATAACGTTGTTGTTGTTAATGTTAGTTGGGTTTGTTGGGTTTGTTGGGTTTGTTGGGTTTGTTGTTGGTTAAATGGGTGCGGGTGTTTAAGTTTCGCAAATAAGAGGAAAGAAAAATAGGTATGTGTAAATGTTTATTATTTTATTTTCTTCTTGATTGTGATGAAATTGTGAAAAGATAATTCAGCAAAAAAAAATTTATCCTAAATTATTCGTTTGCTATTATTGTTGTTAATTTTCAAATTATTAAAATTGTTTTTATTATCATTAAAATATATATATTATTATTATAGTAGTAACAATTGTACTAAAGAGAAGTTGTTATTTTTATTTAAATCATAAATTAAGATAAAAAAAAAAAGAAAAAAGAGAAAGAATTAAATAATATAATAATATGTTTATGAGAAAAAAAATTAAATTTAAAAAAGTATTTTTAAATTTTTAAAAATACAAAAGAGTAAAAAAAATTTTTTAAACAATTGATAAAATTACACAAATACACGAATATAATTTTGAACATATTAATATGGTAAAAAAATTTACTGTTAAATGTTTAATTTGGTAATACAGTTACCTAGTTTGGTAAGAACAGCACTACTAAGTTTAGTCCCTTTATGCTTGTCGCTCTCCATATGTATGTCACAAGGAAATTTCAGGGTTAATATCATTCACAATTGTACTACTACCAATATAATAACCAGGGCTAGCCGCGTAACCTAAATGAGCATTTGGTTAAACTGACAGTCTGGAGAGATTCCGTACAACTTGTAATTCCGTGCCGTATTTTTTATATTAATATTTTTTAATTTTGTACGGAACGGAATTTGTGAATTCCGAAAAGTTTGATTGGTAGGGCCAGTCTGTACGATCTTCGATTTTTATTTTTTAATTTTGTACGGAACGGAATTTGTGAATTCTGAAAAGTTGATTGGTGGGGGCCAGTCTGTACGATCTTC